GAGGATGAGCACTGAGTGCCAGCTGAATTTACCAGACCATCTCGTTTTGCAGAAGGGTTTTCGGCACTGTGCTGGCCGCTTTGCTAAAAACACACCACTGTTTTCTAGCGGTGACACAATTCAAAGTGAGTGAGCCAAACAAGAAAAGACATTTGCTTTGAATTTTTTAAAATGTGGTTCTGCAATGCGTCTCAGCCATGAACGTCTCCGCGCAGAGCGGGAGCTGTGACAGGAGACGCCGTTTCTTCTCTATCTCGTGAGGTGTGTGTAACTCAAATCAAAAGGATACTGCGGAAAATGTTGTGAGGGAGCTGAAAAGTAGAAAAAGAGGCCAAGAAAAATTAGGTACGAACAAGAAATGAAAAAATGTAAATGAAATTGAAAAAACGGGGCCAAGTTACTGTTTGATTTCCATAAAACTAAAGCAAACCTCTAACAAAAAGGTTCTTAACACACAGCTGATCCTCAGCTGCCATAGCTGTCAAGTGCAGAGAAAACATTTGTGTGCAGCAAAGACACATAGAAGCTGTAAAGCCCCCCCAAAAACAAGAAATCTGCACTTGAAATCATACAGAAAGCGCATTAACACGTCACGACTGGAACGTCGTCGCCGGGCAACGATGTGGTCATACTAAGCAGATGGTAGGAGTGAATGTGTGTGAAGCAGGTTCACATGAGCATGCAAAGGGTAAATGATGGTCAAACCGCCTCATGTCAGTCAGCTCATGTGCAGGATGAAGGTGCTCCTTGCTGGCTTACCTTGCCTGTCAGCGGGATGCCCCGTGTGGACATAGAGGGTCTGCTGACTCTGTCGGATGGCAGCAGTCAGAGGGAGATCGGCCTGCATCACCCACTCCTGGTTGTTTCCATTGACAACCGCCTCCGTGGGCATGGCCAGCGAGTGGCGCTTGGGCACATCCTTGGTCAGGGTGGCTAGCGACTGTTTCGCCTTGAGGAGGCAGACGGAAAGAAGTCATCAGTCAGAGAGCACAGTGAGCCACAATCAAAATTCTCCACTTCAGCAAACTCACTTTTTCAGTGGGCTGGTAAATCTCCATTTTTATTCCGTGTGTGTGTGTGTGTACATATTACATGTTGTGCTCAGATTTCTACTACATGTCTCTAAGCGCATGCAGATGTGCGAGTTCTCCCCTGGGCTCGTTATGTGGCGCTTGTCTCATTAAAAATGCAGTTATATTCTTGTTCTCCTTTTGTTTGTGAAATCTTTCGCTACCACTCCTGAGAGCTCTGACAGAATATCTGGAGGAGGTGCTGGTTGTTTGTATCCACGGCGGTGTAAGCTGTGGGTGTTGTCGGGGTGCAAAAAAACAGAAAATAAAAAATGGAGACATTGAAAACAATTAAGCTTTTCTATAACTTTAATGGACATATTTGCTCTGCCGCTGCTTTTCTGCAGGAGTAACAATGAGCTGTACTGGAGCCTTGGACATTGTGTTTGTGCATGTTTATTTTGTGTCAATGAAACCTTTTTCTCTGTGTTCATGTTTTCTGATTATGCTTGACATGTTTTTTTTATTGCTTATTGTGCGAATCGTATCATCATGCCAAGCGGCGGCGGGCTGCAAATCACCGGCACAATCAACTCCACTGCAATCATCTCCGTCTACCAGCAGTCAAACGGTTATCAATCACAGTCTCTGTCATGCAAAACAGTATACAATCCCAAACCTTCAATGTAATCATTAGTTGTCAGACTACTGATGTTTTTGTTGCCTCCCCCAAGCATTTCAACGTTCAATTAGACCTGAAACACATTCCGATCGATTACAGTGGAAATCTGTGGGACCACTGATGTTAGGATTACTGGGATCAGTCAGGGTGGGCTGAGGGTTAGTTTAAAAAAACAAAAAAACAACTAAAAACACTAAATGGAAAAACGTGCATCTGAGGAACAGGAAGAGGCTTTCCAAAGCAACAAACAGGTCACAAATAGGAGAAAACTCCACAGGGGGCAGGAGTGGAAAGATTTAAATCTTGGGGCCTGTCTTACCGCCATGACCCTAGGAGAGTAGTCCCTGTCCACAAGGCGCTCAAACACCCGGAACTCCATTCTCTGATTGACACAGTTACTCATCTGGTGGGGGGGGTTGGAGACATGAATGACGGCTATGCTGTACATTCAAAAGGCTTTCCGTGTTTCGATTAGATGCAGTTTAGGCAAAACAGTGCAGAGTGACCAAACAGATGTACTGTATATACCTGAACCAGGACTCAAACTATTTGTGCAATATCTTTGTTTCTTTGACTAGTCAGTCTTTTCTCTTTGTACACTTTATCACTTGTTATCTTAGAAGGAAAAAAGGAACTCTAACATTAGAAATGTTCCTAAATATCTGATTCTAGAAAATGGAGCCTATAAAAAGCCAGTAATGCAGTGCTGACTCACTACCTGCCTGTCAAGTTCCCTCATTTGCCTTTCTCTCTCACCATGGCAAGTTCAGCCTCCAGCTCCTTGATGCGGTTCTCCTTGAGATCAAGCTGAGACCGCAGCATCCCCGTGTGCTCCGTGGCTTCCTTGGTCTGCCGCCGCAGGTCCCACTTTTCTCTCTCCAGGAGGTCTTTCTCTTTGGCCAGCGCCTTTACTGCATCCTCGCTCTCCTAGTAGACACACAGATCCTGATGGATTGGTTCACACATCAAGCACGACTAAACAGAATGATTCAAACAGAAAGGCGGTGGCTCTTTCTGTGCTGCCTTGTAAGGGCTTTCAATATTTCATTTGATTTTTTTTTTTTACCTTGAGATGACAGGAATAAAAAAAGTGCTTCTACATGTTGGGCTTACTATGACATATTCTTGTGGCACCACATACGCACCAAATACCACAAAAACATTTTTTTTAAACTGTAAACATCCTTTTTTGTAACCAACCGTCTTTTTAATTAAGCAGATTAGAGCATGCACTACAAAAAAAACCCAAACAAACAAGAAAAAGAGGGTCTGTATGGATGTGTGTGCCTCTATACTGTTAGAAAACGGGTGCCGTACTTTTCTGTGCTGCTCATAGTTGCGTATGAAGTCACGGAGCTGCTCCTCTCGGCTCTCCAATGTGGCATAAAGCTGCTGCATCTGATTCACCAGATCTGCCTTCTCTGCTTTCAGACGCTTACGGTCCGACTTCATGGCTGGAAGACAGAGTTTGTGGAGGGTCAAATAACTTGAAGATTTACATACTTCTATTTAGTCATAATCTACAGTGTAGATGACTGCACTTCAGTGACAAACAATAGAGTTCAGAGGATTATTACCGTTTTATCTACAGTAAGTTATAAGTGGCTTTATGTCCATGTTCGTGGACCTCCTCCATCCTACCAACGTGCATGTAATGAAAACTGGAGGTGATCAAGAGCAGACAACATGATAAACTAGGAGCTGGGGTAAATGTGGGTTGCAAAGAGGCTTCCAGATGTGTAGCAAATATAGACAGGCTAAAGCTACTTAGCATCCGATAATGAGCCTATTATCTGAACTTTCAGCTGATATGGGTGGTGCTGGGATTGCAGACAAGCTTGACTTGAAAGACTTTAAGGTCTAATGCTGTTCTTAATGTTTTGACACAGCCATGAAGAATGTTGCACATTAAGAGGTGATCTTCATTAAGGAGTCTTCTTTAATCTAACCAACAAATCTTTTCCTGATTTCTTAGTTTGTTCCTGAAGAAAATAACAATAAAAACACCTGCTGTTGCCGCTGACTATACGTTGATGAACCCTTATGTCAGTCTGCACTCTGTTGCTGGCTTTGTTAGAGACTGAGTCCCTTTTTTTCCCCTCTCCCCCCGTCTCTCTCTGCCACACACTCTTTCTAATCCTCTGGCAGCTCACCCACGCATCATGATAAAGAATATGGTTCACAGTGGTTATTCAGAGAAGCTCTAATTTTCTCAAAGACAAACATTTTTTGCTCTTCTGCATCTGCCTGTTCTCCTGCTTCCTCTTGATCTTTTTTACCTCCTCGTGCAAGATTGTTTTTCAGACGTGTTTAAAGTCGAGGTTCCCTCCAGCTATCATTTGAAACTGACAATACATCATTTATTTATATATTATTTATTCATATTGCATCTTTCTACATCAAACTGTTTTTCCTAAAAGCACAGTACATCTGCCTTTTTCTGCCCTCTTTTTTTCTCCCCTTCAGAACCAGCTGTGTGTCAGTAATGAACTTATATCACAGCTTGGTTAACTGCGTGACAGTCACAAGTTGTGTCTGGCGAACATGCTTGGGCAAGCGGAAATGAAGGACAGATTCAACCTCTGTTTTTTTTTTCCAACCGCCCTCGTCATCCTTTCATATCTCTCCCTTTCACTTGTTCTTACCAGAGGAATCCCCAAGCCAAAGGGATACGCAGACCACATTAGCTGGCGAATGAAGACAAAAAACATCCCTCACTGACCAAGAGAAACAGGAAACCTTCCAGCACCTGCCTCAGGAAGTGAAATCAAAGCCGTCTTTGAGATGAGCCAAAAACACTTCTGCTGCCTCACATCCTGCACCTGTGATCGTTTGGCAACAGCGACCCTCCTGGTGCTGGATGCAAGAAAGCACTCACTGTGACTCTTTGAACGGGTCCATTCACACTTGCAAATCATATTAGCACTGTTAGTTACTGCTTCTGACCTACCTATGAACATTTTTAACATACAATTGTGCTCCGGGGGCTCAGACTGTTACGTTACACGCACGAATGTAGGAGAGATGGGGAAGCACTCCTGCTGACAGACATATTAATGACTAACATACTCTGTTGCTCAGTTCAAGCCTCCAAGAATTATTACCAGCTGAAACAACCAGAGAACCACCTGGGAACCATACAGAATTGAAGCTAATGTGCGTGGAGGAGGAGGAGGAGGATGACACGGGAAGGAAGCCGTTTAAGAGACTTTTCATAAAGAAATGATACACATATGTGCAAGCATCTGTCTTATTCGCTGACTGCTGCGAATGTACTTGAATAGCAGATAATTTGAATCCAATATCACACCAATATGAGTTAAAAGTTCAACTTCTACATTAATTTCCCAATACCTCAGTATGCCTACTGTCCATCTACTTGATTTGCAAGGACATGCTAAACCTGCTAACACATGTTATTCCAGCCCATTTTGCAAGTGCCCCCCATAAATGTTCAGCTGGGTTGTTGTTAGGTATCTGTGGACAGAAAGCCAACACTCTCTGGCTTTCTCTGGTGATCAGGTAGTCCTTTCAAGGCTTTGAAATGTGTGGCCATTATCCTGCAGTAGTATGAACCCCTGCACACAAAAAGTGCAAGTCAGAGAGCATGTCTCTGAACCTGTCAAAGTGCAGCAGATTCAGTACAGGTGTCTCCAGAGTAACAAAACATTCCCAGACTTAAATATACCCAGCAGTACCTTACATTGTTAGTCTGATGCATTGCTTTATCTTCCCTCTTGTGTTTTGCTGCTTTCCTGGGGAAATGGTTTAGATGCTGCTACAGGCCCACAATGAACACTGCTACACAGCCTTCTTTTAGCAATTCAAGCCTAAATCTTCAGTCTAGCTATGCTCTTAACACCGACAAAGCAACTTGTTGCCAAGAGTAACATATTTTTTTTTGTATTTAAAAGGCACCTAAATCTTTCGCACTGAAGAAAGATTTTTTCCTTTTGCCCACACTGCATTTTACAAATGTTTAGCACTTGCTTTGCAAATTGTTTGCCTAAAATCAAAAGAAATGTTTGCCTTTGTGAGAAAACTGTATTCGTGCAAAAAGAAATGTCAGCCCGTATAAGCAGAAAAGAAGCGAATCAGGACATCTGCAAAACATTCCCCTTAAAAAGTCCAAACCAATGTGGAAAATCGCAAACACCTGATTACAACATCCCTTTCTACATAATATATATATTTTTAAAACTCACGGCACAAAGGCTCTTCTGATACCCGAGTCCTTGCAATTTCAAGTAGTTCAATGTGAACATCTATTACTAGAGTGTGCTAAAAGCTTTTGTCTGCCGGGCTCCTCTATGATGCTACTGAAGGACTTAATGAGTGAGCCAAGTCACTGGTTGCTAGACAGAAACACTGGACTCCCCAGGGAGCTTGTGCCAGTATTAAAAATAGCTAAGAGCAGGTTATTAACCTTATTAGGAGTGCAACCCGTTTTTGAGGATGAAAACATTTGGGGTCTGTTTCTAGCATGTTGACAACAATTCATTCAAATTATCATAATGAGCACTGCCTGGCTGTGTAATACATACCAGTTTAACACCCTCCCCCATTTGGAAGAACGGAATATTTTGACATTTTCCAAACTATGTATATTTGCTTTCTTGTGGATAGTTAAATAGGAAAAAAATGGATACTTCTTTCACCTAAAAGATTTAAAAAGTAGCCTCTTTGCTTAGCGCTGCGACAAGATAAAGTGGCATTTGTTGGAACAATCACACAACCTATAACAAGTTAATGGGTGAGCTTTATGAATCTTGGGAGGCATAGTTTGCACCTCTTGGTGAAGCCAGGTGAGCTGTTTGTAATTCAAAGCTATATGAATGTTACACATTAAGGACGAATATTTTCTTGTTAATTCCAGAGGCAAGAAGACTTTATCACCCTTGATTATAAAAGAGGGGAAAAAAAACAACCTCAGCCATGTTGTTGTTGCTCACACAGTTTGCACCGATTACTGTGGTGTGTTTTTCACATCCCACTCACTGCATCCTTCTGGTTAAATAACATCCCTCATTATCTGCCGTGCCCCATCTATGGTGGCTCACATAACAAGATTTAAGCCAGGATTACAGACAAATAACATTTCCTTTCTATGTGTTGCCAGCTCACCCTTAACAATCACCTTTTCTTCTGAGGAAGATTTCTAAGTGATGGAAGTCTGCAAAAAATACACTGAATCTACAGCACTTTAAAAAAAACCAAAAACCTTTAAGCGACCTTTAAGCTTAAGTTCCTTGGATAGCATTTTTAGCTAAAACACAAACACGCGCTCCTCTGTAAATGACGATCGCTACATTAACATTAGCCCGCTTCCCACTGACACAACTGCATATAACTTCAGCTCTAAAGAGAAGGGACAGGCTTTTAGTCAGCTCTTAACATAATTATTTTGGGAGAGAACAAAAGAGACATCGGCTCATTGGAGGGAGTCCATTGTTCGCGGTTTGGGATTTTAAATCTGCCAGCTGAATAATGATGTAGGAGCCTCAGAGCAGCACAGTGCACTCACCTCCTCAATTCCTCAGTAAAAACAAACTCATGGGGCTGTGTGGCGTTGATATCACTGGCATTATTTAACAATCCTCGCTGTAAAGCAAGGCGTGTTACCGTGGGATCAGACATCTTTGCGGAGAAGACATCTGACCTTTGTAAGGTAGCTAATGAAAACAGATCAGACATACAAGCTATTTAAGCACCAGGGCAGAGAAATCTGTCGTCGGTGGATTCAAAATGAAACCAGTCTAATGTTACTGTGGAAAAAGATTTCAGCATGTAGCAAACATTTCAACTCTGACTAACTGTTAATGTGGGGTTTTTGTTGTTGTTTGGGGTGAAAAAAAAAAGTTCCAAATTGGACGTTCAACTGGTTTGAGGTTCTTCTTGAAGGCTGTCTCTTTGCTAGACTTTCTAGCAAGAGAAGCTTTGTATTCAAGAATTGCTTTCTAATGTTTACTGATTGGAATAAAATGAAAAAAAAAACCCCAAGAAAAAAAAAGAACAAAAAAATATATACTTCACTGATGACTTAAACTCGTGACCTCGGGGTTTTTTGAGCACATTTCCTTTCATGCTGAGCTAATTGACTTCCCACTCAAGCAACAGTATTCCTGGGTTTATGATGCTGTCGTCACAGACAGAAAGACACAGGCTCTAACAGTTTAACTGTTCCCCATGAAACAAACATGAAAGAATTTAGATATACATACATGATACATACAGGACTGACAGATTGCTAAGATACATCTAAATAACACAATGGGCCTCAATGAACCAAACAAGGTTTCTTACTTAATTGTTTTCAAATGCAATAGTTTTAAATGGACTTGTACTTATAGAGCTCTTTTCTACTATAACTGAAAACTCAGCGCACTTTTTACTACAACCTTTATTCACCCAATCACATAGATTTTGTGGCTGACGTCATTTATGCAGGTATTTA